GATTGTAAAAGATATATACATTTATTTTTGTAGACCTAATTGTGTGGATTTCTTCCACGGTCATGTACACAAGCCAGAACAAAATGCATATACATGTGATGTGTACAAAACACTGAAACTATCAACTGGCAGAATGAGTTGGTCAGATCTTGCCTTTGGACTTCAAGAAAAGTGCTTCTGCTTGTTTGCAAGGTCATTTACCAATCGGATGGACCAATGGAACAAGAACACATTGTTTACAAGAACATATATACTATATTGTTTATTTGCCTAATGTATATTTGCATTTTTATTTGTGAACATGTGAGGTCCAAGACAAACTTCCATGGAATGGGAAGAGCTGTTTCAACTTCTTTGCTCAAAAAGGACGAGCTGGCCATTGTCTTCGTCTCAACCAAGAGATGTGTGCAGGACTTTGCGCAATTACAGCTCTATCTATCCGTAAGAAGGTCTGATTCATAACAGTCAACTATCTATCTCCGTGATCCTTGCATTTCTTGAAGAGCCTTAGTTTTAAGAATTTACTGGAAGTTGAACCCATGGCAGCACACCCAGACTCTTAGAGCATTGTGGGGGAAAGGTTTGCGGTGTGTTAGTCACCCAAAAATGTTCCGCCACGGGAGAATGCTTGCAAGCGTTTGTAACTGCTTTTTTGCGCTACTAGGGGCTCCTGGCATCGCTACTAGTATCAAGAAGCTACTGGGGGCTCCTGGCCTTACTACTAGGAGCAAGAACCTGCAGACATTGGTAGGCGATAGGATGCCATAGGAAGTCCTGCGCTTTGTTGGATCATTTCAGTCGAGCCCAGGATGAAGACGTGCTGTATTCCAAAGTATATAGCTTTAAAGCATTTGTATTCTTTGCAAGCTGATCTGCCTATGTGTATACTCCACTTGGTGAAACAAAGGGAGAGGCAGGGGTTGATGCACCAGACATCCAACGTCCACCTCGCCCAGCACCAAACCTGAAGCAGGACATTGCCAGACTTCTTTGGCATCATAGCTTTGGAGTCGCCGAGATCCACGGTGACAAGGAGCCTCTCTCGCCAAAAGCTGGTAGGAGGGTCCAACAGGGTGAAGCCACTGGTGAGAGCACGCTAGGACCAACGAGAGCGGGACCTGGCTTTGCGCTCTTTCACCAACAAGGAGAAAAGAGCCAATGCCTTGGATCTGACTTCTCTATCCGTGGATGCTTGAACAATTCTAGACTGGAGGTCATGGTCGCCACGGATGTTGCCTCGCGTGGCCTTGACATCAAGGGTCACTTGGAAGCGAATGTGATGGAAATAAGCACGAGACGATATTTCATGGACATCCTATTACATCCCGTCTTCTTGATCAACTTGTTGTACTAGTACTTCCAGCGATGTCAAGAAACTCTTGTGGTGACACTGTGTGGATTTATGAGCGATCCCTATTTGTTAGTCTTCATGGTCGGTTGGTTCGTTTTAGAGTGTCCTCTATATTACTTATTCCCACATGGGCTGATGAAATAACCCCGCGCTCAGTAGTTTAGTATTGGCCTGCACCTTAACACTACTAATGCATTGCTGGCCCAGAAAACCGTAAGAGTAAAATCAACACGAAAACGAGCTTATACACGTACACGTTCATGAACCCTGAAGATGGCAACCTGCACAGGCCTCCAAAACGATAACCAAAACGATAACTAAATATGACAACAAACATGCGAGCGCTTGGGAGGATAATAACCACATGACCGGTTTGAGCATATCATATCGCCTTTTGATTCGAAGGAAATGAATGAATGCAAAATGAAAGGAACATGAAAGGAACATGAATGCGAAATCAAAGGAACATTAATGCGAAATGAAAGGACATGAAAGGAACAGATGACATTTGTTGACTTTCGAACAAGGATGCTTTAACACCGACACAAAGCTGGAAAATTCAGATTTCTAGTACACAGAGCCCAACACCTGAGAAAACGATACGAGATCATAAGAGTAAAAAACGACAACATGATTTCGAGGTATTGCAAAAGACGTTTCTTTTTTTTTCAATACCGTCACATGGCAATGCAAAGACTCCAAGAGGCGTTTCTTCTGAGACTTGCAACAACTTGGTCAGTCTTTGTTGCTTGGTAAAGTAAGAAGCGACGAGCAACGCGTGTTCTTTTGGGCGGCTCTCCGTGTCACCAAGCAGGTGTCAAGCTGGTCATCAATTATGATGCTGCCAACACACCCGAGGACTGCTTTCTGTGCAGAAATACCGCCGTTTGCAGCGTGCAAAACCGAAACTATGCTGGAAAGAGCAGCCTAGAGTCCTAGAGTCTAGAGGGCCCATGTGGGCTCGGGTTGAAAGTGTCTAAGAAGATTCCAAAAGCAGCTCAAGGCTGGAGCAAAGATGACTGACTTTCACACTTTGTATGCATCTTTGCTCCGGCCTTTGCTGATATTTTTTGCCCCGAGGACTATGTTCACCGGATTGGTAGAACAGGTCGTGCTGGTGAGAAAGGCCTTTCGTGCGCCAGGGAAATCAGTGGAGTGACTGGACTGCCTGAGCTTGTAAGTCGATCATCAGTGCATCCCTTCTGGTCGTAATTACGACCCAGCTTTAAGAGGCTGTTGTGACCCAGACACCAGACACCACTAATAACACTAGTACTCCAGTCAGGTATACCTTCTTGGTGAAGGAGGATCCTTTGGACCTTCGAAAAGCGAAGGCCATCCTCGAGGCCTGAGCAGCTCAGCGTCCGACACATTCAGCTGGGTCGTTTCACCGCTTCACCCCTGAACATGTCTAAAGTCTCTCCTGAACATGGAGACATGGATCAAAAGATTGACATGGATTGACCAGAGCCCCGCACATGCTTCTTTTTTTTGCTGGGCTTTCACATGTTGCACTGTGGAGTGGAGGTCATGCAGACTGCTGAACAGGAGATTCCAGAGGACGCCTTCACAACCCGGGCTGGCTGAGAATGATGCAGTTCTCCCGTTCTCCCTGCACAACGTATTCCGTGGGCGGCTGCATGAAATGAGGGTCCATGTTGTTTCTTATATATACTTTGCCAAACGGTCCGAAGGTCTTCCATCCTCCCCAAATGGTATTGGATAGGGAGACTTGCCGTTTCAGATTTGCATTCGACAGGAGCTGCGAGCCCTCGTTGGCGTCAAAGCCAAACCTTCCAAAGGAGGTCCTTGTCGAAGACGATCAGCTTCCACATTTGACATGTTGTTAAGAGAGTGTATGTTTCTCTTAGATGGTCACAATAATTGGCATCATCCAAAGTTTGATGGACAGAACCGGCTTGCACACGAGAAAACACATAAAATGTACCATTGAAATTGAGAGTTGCATTTCGCACCAGAGTCGCAACCAGTGGTGTTTGATGTTGTTTGCATTGCTTGCTCTTCAGAATTTTTTGTTGCATCGATCAGCAGCATCGCATTGATGTCGTTGGCATGTATTGAATATGTAGGGTCATCAAAGGCATCAAAGGAATACTGAGACATCTCAGGTGGCAAAGGGAAAAGCAGCGGCAAGGCCAGCGCACTGGGGCTTTGCCGGCATCGAGTATTCTGTGTTTCATTTGTCCCGTCAGCAAGAGCAGGACCCCCACCTGTCGTGGATCTCCACTCCTGTTAGCAGTGAAATGCAAGAACCAAGTTCTTCGCTATTCTATTGCGTGGCACAGCATCTTTTCGGCAGATTTCAATTGCCTTGATTCCTGAGCCGGGGTCGCGAGGGTGGAAAGAAAGGCAGCTCCAAGGCGGGGGCTTCAATCACAATATAAAACGGCATGACGAGGTATGTCTTTTGGGAACCTTGGAGTGCTTAGTTCTTCTTATTTTGTGAGGGTAAAGGCAAGACCTTTGGCAAGGCAGTGCAGCTCTCAGGTACTCAAATACCTTACATATCTTACATTCGAAGCTAAGCCGTTGCTGCGCTGCTCGAGGCACCTCCTCCGGGGCCACTGGCCGGATGTGCTCCAATGTATTCTGTGCCGGTTTAGCTCTCACGGGAGTGCTGTGGGTAGACAAGACACCATGTTGAACGTCGTTGAACGTCGACAAGACAAGCACCCGTTCCTTCACCAACACTGTTGACTGCTTGGAATCATTCTGGAATCCTGGTTGAGTCCTTCAGATAGATGCCAGAATCCGAAAGATAGCCAGCTGTTTTTGTTGTTTAGCAATCTGGGCAGCCAACCTTGTCTCATTGGTACAGACATTGTCCATGGCATATAGTTTGCCCGCCAGAAACGGCGGCCTCATGGGTGGCTACGGCGATTGGCTTAGCAGCGATTGGCGATGTCATCTTGTGATTCATCAGCGACACCCCAAGTTAACCGTTACACATACTCGTGTTTTGTCATGTTTTGCCTTCTTCCTATGGGCGTTGTGTTCTGGAACACCAAGTTCCTCCCAGTAAAAGCTTCCTTCATGCTCATGACAAGTGCACTCTTGTTGAAACTTCGCGGAGCATAGGATTTTGGTGAATCAAAGGTGTTTCACTTCATCTGAAGCTTTTGCCGTCCTCAAGTCGGCGGCATGCTACAACAGGTAACCATTGCTGCGTGCTGCAAAGCTGTCACATTGTAGAAGTCTGACCTTGGTGTATCCCTGTCCGCAGATTCTTACTCAATACCAGCAATGTTGTTTGCATGTAGTGGGGCTGCATCTAGTCTGGTCGCTGCTCGTCTGCAAGTTGGCCTGCCGCACTCTTCATATTACATGCTTTGTGAGGTGAAGAGAGCTAAAAGACAAAATACGGCTATTGAAAGTATGGTCATGCAATTGTGAAGATGTGTCATGAATTTATCTTGAATAGATAAGTGGGCTCTCAGATGGATATTGTAGCTACTGAAGACTTCTTGATGCAGTGTCCCAAAGTGTTAGAAGCAGCCCTTTTGGCCGACAAAAGCTTTCAGTTTTGGTTCACTTTTGCAATTTACACTTGAACTTCATCGGATCAACTCACTCGGTGATTGCCCGCAGCTTCACACGTGTAGTACTCATTGAGAGAGGCGGCGTGACTATGTCTGGAACGCAAATCGACTCTTTTAATGTCGAGGATGGGTTGCAAATCAATCGATTCATCCATTCTTGTGAATGTTGCCACGGCCTTTTGGAGTGTAAGTACGCAGTTGTATGAATGTTCATGATGTTCTCGATGGGATCCACCTGGAAGTCACAGATCTATGAATAGTGCGAGCGCTTCTTCAAGGAAGCCCTCCCCCCACCCTAAAGGAGTTTGCTTGAAGAAGCGTGAGCTATCCTGCGTCCTACCTAGGAGCTTTTACTAGCTACTAGTTTATACCTCTTCCATCCTCTTCCTGTAGTCGCCTACCGCCTACCCCCCCTTTCTGGGCTTTAGACAGAAAGCGTCCTCTCGGACCTTCGCTCTAGGAGGTCCCCACGCCCTATACACAACGTCCAAGAGTGAGTGAATATGTTGGGGCTCCGGTCGAGCTCCTTGGTTGCAGTGCTTGAGATCTTGCAAGACTCTTCGGCTGCAGTCAGTAAAGACAAATTAGTTACGAGGTTCTCCACATGAGCAACCACTTTTATTTAGGCTTTACTAAAGTAGTCTACGGCATGCTCTATTTGTTTGTCTATCATCAGTATTCGCTTGTGAACGAGATAGGGCCCCCACATAAACGAGATACTTTTGCTTGATGTCACTAAAGAGATCTGAACGAGATAGTGTGATTTGCTACTAAAGTAGTCTGAACAAGATGCTGTGACATGATCTCCTGCTCAAGTAGTCTAAACGAGATAGGCCCCACATAAGAGATAGTGTATTTGAGCTAAGTACCAAATAAATGCCGTCACACATGAGCTTGAACATGCTATTATGTTCTGATAACTTTCACCAACACGATAACTTGCTCTTAACAGTTCTTTTGGATATGCGTATTCACAAAATGTCTGAGAATCGCTGTTTGGTCCTCCGGTGGTCTGACGGACAGGGTGGAGAAGAGCCATCGGCCCGCAGTGCAGACAAATACTGAAGCGATGCTTGACTGAAAGAACAGCGCTTCAATCAAAAGACAACGCGATCGAGCCGACCTCACTTTACAACGTTAGGGTAGGAATGCAGTCCTCTTTTCATAGAATAGCCTTAGGGCAGAAGGCCATGTTGACCTTCCAGATGGCAGACGTTTACGTCACCTGGACTTGCAGTGGATGCACTGTCCAAGGATTTTCAATATGCTAAATGCTGCTTTGGGCGTCTCTCTCCTAGCGATAGCTGGCGTGTGCTTGAAGGTGCAATACTGGACAGCAAGAGTCAGACGCGTGGGTTCTGTTGGGGACCGGTCCAGAAGGTGTTGAGTGGAGTCAGACCATTTAGTTCTGCCATGTTCTGCCAAATCCTCCTCCTTTAGCTTGCGTTGAAGTATCTTAATGCCTGTCGAATGATTGCTTTTCTTACGCTGGTCCATTCAACGTGCAGTGCCTTGCGCAGAACATGCCATCAACGTTCATGAACTGGAATTGTTCTCAGAGGGAATCGGAATCGATGCAACCAATTCGAAAAGCAGTCTGAAGCTGCTTTGGCCAGATTGGACTAGTACCAGCCATGCTTCTCTACGGTGTCTCGTGCTTTCTCAACAGACTCTTGCCTGCGCTTTCAGCACTTGTGTACAGTGTACAGAGTAAGTGGATGTGAATGATTTTTCAATGTTTTTCACAGAACCAAGTCAACGTCGTTCCAACCAAGCAGCCCTCAGTACTTTCGTGCTTGTTCTTGATACACCTTTGCACGAGCATTTGTCGTTTCTCAAGTTGCGGCTGGCGTGGAAGTGCTCGGCATGGTTGCTACACTGAGAAGACACAGCACCGTCCTCCTCCTCCTCCTCATCATCATCATCATCAGCTGAGCAAGTTGATCCCTTTCTGCGGCAGTCTGGGAGTAGGTCACAGTCATAGCTCTTGAAGCAGGCGGCACCCAAAGCATGGCTCATGCTTTCTTCCCGAACTACATTGGTTTCACATGCACTCCGAGGATATACCTTGCACTTGGTCTATCGTTCATGCCAAATTGCGAAAGTCAAAGTGCATGGGATCCCAGATGGGGAGCAGAGGGGCGAGCACAGTTCTGACCCCAGGGCTGCAATGACTTAGCCAGTATCGAAAAGCCTCCACCCTAGCAGCGATGGCCTCCATCCTAGTAGCGATGGCCTCCACCCTAGTAGTGATGGCCTCCACCCTAGTAGCGATGGCCTTCACCCTAGTAGCGATGGCCTCCACCCTAGTAGTAGCGATGGCCTCCACCCTAGTAGCGGCGATGGCCTCCACCCTAGTAGCGATGGCCTCCACCCTAGTAGTAGCCATGGCCTCCACCCTA